GGGGGGAGATATGTCAGCAGCGAGGAGTGAGGACATGACCTTGGCGGGCGACCCCAGTAGAACGGCTCCTGGTCTGCATCCGCACAATCAGCCCAGCGCGCGGCAGACCCGGCGCCGCACGGCGCGTCCCACCGGGCGCCGCCTCGCAGGCATGCTCGGCGCCCGCGGGCGCCACGCTCCCGCCGCCGCCGCCGCCGCTGCCTGCCCGCCCACCTGGACTGTGGTGACGGCGCCCCAGGCCACCAGGGCCGCGGCGATGTAGTCCAGCCGCGCCCCAAAGTCCTCCTCAGAGTACGACCAGGACGCCTGCTCCCGGTACTTCCACATCCTGTCAAATCGATTGCTAATTAGTGATTGGCGTTTGCTAATCGTGCATTTTTGGGGCTTCCTGAGGGCACGGCAGATTTGCACTTAGAGAGCGCGCGCGGACCTGCCACGTGGCAGCAGGCAGTGCACAGCGGTGGGCGGCAAGAGACGCGAGCGGGTGCGAGGGAGACGCGCTGCCGGCCAGTTGGGGTGTGGGCGCGGGTGTGAGGGCGTGCGCTGCACTCACACATTCAGAGCGACGAACGTCTTCCCCATGTACTGGCGCTGCACGGATTGGGGGAGGGGCCGGCACAGGGGGGGCCGCAGTGTTGAGTGACGGCAGGTGTGTCAGGTGCGTGTGGGTGGCGGCAGCACCTGAAAGTGGTGATCATGCAGGTGGTGCTGACAGGGCAAGAAATGTGCTGTTGCAGGGCGCGGCTCGTGCAGGTATCCACGGTGGTTGGGATGTGCCTGCCGCGGTGTCTTTTGAGGGGTTCGGGAATTTGGACACGGCCGCTGCTGCCACCGGGCGCGCGGCGCGGGACAGCGGGCCAGCACGGACACCTGCCCCAGTCGTCCAGCAACTGTGAGGGGTCGTGCCCTCCGCGGCTGCACGCCATTTGACATAGGATCAAAGCAGATCCCGGAAACTGACTAATGGATTTCCAAAAAGGCAGAGCTGCAGAATCCCACCCACCTTCACCAGGCTAAAGTCATAAGATCTGCCATACTTCTGTTGCACCAAAGACAGCAGCGCCGCCCCGTCGAACGCCGCCGCCGCCGCCGCCTCCGCCTTGGCTCCCTCCGCCGCCGCGCGTTTCGCGAGCTCGGCCGCAAACACGGAAGTCAGGGGGTCGGGGCCGTCGTCGCCGCCGCCAGCGGCACCGCCGGGGGGCGCCGCGCGCGCCGCCACAGCTCGCCGGCGAGCGCACTTGTTAGGCCCGCTGCCGCTGCCGCTGAAGCATGCGCACGCGGCGCTCTTCCTGGTGAGGAGTTCGGCGGGCCAGGCAGTCACAGCCGCCTGTTGCTGCTGCGACCGCTGCTGCTGCTGTCGGTGTGCGCTTGGGTTCGGGGCGCGTCGGGCGTGCGCACAGCGCGCGAGACGTGGCAATCTCGCCCCGCTGCAGGCCTGTGCTGGCGCGAAGTGGCCCGTCAATGCGCTCATAGCCATGATCTAATCGTAGGTGTATAGGTCGGGCTCGCTGAGTGAAGCTGTGACGGCCTGTGGCGATCCACACGTCCAACACGGCTGAACGCGCAAGGGTTGGAGGGACGCGGCATGCATGGGCCAAACCGAAGAAAGAGGCTGAAAGTTGTGTTTGCTAGACGGACTATCACGGTTTCAAGCGTGCGTGCTTGCGACCGTTGGCGTCATGCTGTGCTTGGGTGACCCACGCCGTCGGCGTCGCAGTCAACGCGACTGCGACCGGCTCAGAACCTGCACCGCCCCACATGCTTGGAGACTGAAAGTGCACCTTTGCAGGCAATCCTACTTCACTCTCGCGTTGCTGCAAGGGCTGGACCAGGCCTGACATGTTACTATCACGAGGAGCGCTTGCCCACAAGGGGCACGCGTCCCCAGCCCCCACTACACGCACTCCCCAGCCCATGCGACTCCGCTTCCCACCTATCAAACAGGCCCAATGTGCGGCAGACGGCGCCAATCAGCAGCGCGCAACATCAGCCACCCCTGGCCCCCATTGCAAAACCTGAAGCGCCATTCGACAAAAGCGAATGCTGGCTCACGAACTGCTGTCGTGCGCCGCCTCTCAACTGCAGATTACAGGAGGGGGCGATTTTATCATACAAGGCCAGAGGGCACAGATGCCTGCAGACCCTAGCAAATCGCAGGAGCTTCCCCAGGACTCAAAATAGCAAGGCCGCACGTGCGGAGGGAGGCGGGGGGACCCAGCGTCGACTCGGAGGCCTGCCCTGCGTGGACACGCCTGGATCGCCGGCCGGATGGCAAGGCTGGATGATGATGAGTGTACAGCAGAGAGCAGGGTTGTCAAGATCGCACGCGCCACCTCAGCGCGCCGTAGGCCGCAAGAATGTAAGCAGGCGCCCGCATGGCGTGAGAAACTGCTGCATGCGCACAGCGCGACCGTCGCGTCCCCCAAACGCAGGCAAAGGCAGCACATGAGAAGGGTCGCATGTTGCAGCGCGCCCCCGTCCCCAGGCAGTTGACCAATCTTATACAACCTCCGCATCGCCAGCAGTGCAGCACAGCTCGCACAGCATCAGAGGGTGCGGTACAGTAGTAATCCGCAGCAGCAGGACCAGCAGCAGACGAGCTCCTTGGCGGCTCGTGCTCATATGTGTGTTTCCGCACACATCAGGCCGATCCCAGAGCATAATCTTTCAGTGCTCCACGACAGCGCGTGCCACCCCCAGGGAGCCAGCGGCGCAGGGGGGGCACGCGCACGCAATTCACGATGCTCCCTATACACCAACAACTACACAAGCCCCCGACGCACGCAGCCACGCTGCCTTCGCATAACGGGCTTTGGGGGCGTCCCTCGCCGAGCTAGGGCCCCGCCAGTGCCCGCAAGGGGCTTTTCGCAACCGCGTGACGGACTGCCGCCGTCGTGGCCGCGGGCGGAAGCTCAGTGGAGGGCGTGGTTGTAGTTTTTGAACACGAACAGCGCCTCCCAGGCCGCCGCCTTGGCCGACAGCCACAGCGCCGCCGCGGCCGCGACCACCGGCGCCGCAGCCGCCCTGAGGCCCCAGCCGGCGCCGAGCGCGGCGGCGGCGGCGAGCAGCGCGGCAGCGGCGAGGGCCTTTAGGATGGGCTGTGCGCTCCTGAGCTGGGACAGCGCCTGTGGTGAGCGGATGAAGATGAGCAGAGCGATCAGTGCAGTGGAAGCTGTGTGTGTGTGTGTGTGTGTGTGTGAATGTGTGCGTGTGTGCATGTGCGCAACTTGCAGCAGGTCTGTACTAATGCCTCAGCTGCTGGTCTCGCCCCGTTGCCGCACGCATGCCTCCTGCCCTTGATGATGACTATTGTCTCTTGAGTTTGTCGTGCCCGTCAGCACACAGGACGACGCTGCATGTGGCGTAAGTTGCCCCAGCTGCGGCGGGCGCAGGACGCTTGGGGGGGGGTGTGCGGTTGAGCACGTGAAAGCGGCCCGCCAGAGCCGGCGCACCTTGGAGCACGACTTGCACTGGCGGGTGTGCTGGCGCAGGCGGTCCAGCAGCTGCTCCCTTGGCAGCTGCTCGGGCGGCGCCGCCCGCGCGCGCCCCTCCGCGGCCGTGAAGCCGCCGCGGCCGCGGCCCTGGTACCATTTGCGCATTACCAGGACAGCCCTGGAGAGGGAGCAGCGCGGCGCGGCGGGTGGGGTCGGGGGTGTCAGGTCGCGGCTGAGGAACTACAGTGGGAGCAGTTTCAGGCAACCCCAGCCGGCCCTCTGCTCTGCTGGTACATTCGGCTCCATGCATTGCTTTCTCCATCACAGTACAGCTGAGAACGCCGCGCCGCCGCCGCGATGCGATGCAGGACGGCCCAAACGATGCCAGCAGGCCGACAGCGGAGCGGGGGACATCTCCGGGCGGACGCACGCGGACAGGTGGCCGCTGCTGGGCTCACTTGTCTGCGGTGGCGGGGAGGTAGTAGGTTTTGGCCCACTGGTCGCCGTTTGAGTCCCCTCGCTTTGAGTGGTAGGCACCCTGCAGGGTGACGGGGGATTTGAAGGGGGGTTTGAAGGTGGGGTGGGGGGACGGGTGGCGGCGCGCGCGCGCGCGTGTGTGTGTGTGTGTGTGCGTGCGTGTGTGTGTGTGTGTGTGTGTGGATAAGAGAGACTCGGGGGCCACCACACGACCTGCACAGGACGGCTTTCAAGCCCAACGAGGTGGGAATGACAACGCAAGCGGCGGAGGCATCCTGTCTTGTTGGGTGATTGGTCTGGTGCGCCGCCGCGCACCTTTATGAGGTTTGGCAGGTCTCCATCGAAAACCTCATTCAGTACCAAGTGGTCCAGCCAGGCGGGCCGCTTGGCTGCGGGGGTTGCGGAGGTTTTTCCAGAGTGGGAGAGGGCGAGGTCGGGAGGATGCGGATGTTTTAAAGGTTTGGGGTTTTGAGGGTCTTGTTGCGGGAGGAGGGGAGGGTTGGGAGGGATCGAGAGGGCGGCGGGGCGGTGGGGTGGCAGCAGGGGTGTTGGGACGGGGTTGGCAGCAACGGGGGTTGAGGCGG